ACCAGCTGGGAAGTTTTTTTCTCTGAAATACCTGATTCCCTTTGGTCAGCTGCATTTTAGCTGGGTTTGTTCTTCCCAAGTACACAAAGTGATTTTAGGGTGACATTTATGGGCATCGAGGACAGACTACTTTTGAGCAGATGTTTGTGTGAATGCCATTGACCTTTAGATTTCTTAAATTTATTCATTGAGTTCATTATGTGTTTAAACAGTTGTTCATTTACAGAGTTCCAGCACATTTATTAGATTTTTTTATATTACTACTGGCATGAGAAAATATTTTTCTGATTTAGGCATATATTTTAGAAATAATTAACTTCAATACTGCTGATGATAACAATATTCTGATTATAGAAATAACATACATAAAGGAATTAAGTATTACAGCATGATTAAAAATTTTACCCAAGAATTATATAAAAATTATTTCTTAAATTCACCTACAAAGAGTTCTAGTTTTTTAACATTTTTGTGATATTATTTTGTAGGAAGACAAAATATAATCTGAGGTAATACCTCAGATTACCACACCCCATTCCCTATTTCAGATGAACTTTGCAACAAGCACCCAATTAATTTTATTTTTTTATTTAGGGCTGACCCCATTTTATACCATCAACCTTAGTATATAAGAGCAACTAAATTACAAGAAACTCAAGCACTTTTCTGGTCACCAGGATGGATTACAGATTGCCACTCCAGTGGTGTTTCCAACCCTTATTGTGACAAATCGATACCAGAATTCAGCCACCCTATTCCCATGACAAGTTCTAATGAAATTTTCTTTGCCAAGAGTGATGGTTCGTGCTGCTGGAGAGTGACCAGGCCATTCATTCAAATATTCAAGCACTGCAAGAAGGCCTGGTAAAAAGGAAGAAAAACAAAACAAAGAGTTCTTGAAGGATGTAGGGAAATTGCAGTGGCATCTCTCAATTCAAGTTTAACCAAAATGCTGGAAAAATGAGGCCATGTTTGGTGCTTTTTTTGTTTGGAACACAAAATCAAATTTTAATGCCAGTGAATCAGCTAAGCTATGGCTGAGGTGATTCCATGTCTAGAAGGGGAAATTAAGGAAGTCAGAAAGAGGGTGTAAAAGCTGGTTATGAAATGGTGACAGTGAAATAATAGTAGGATTCTGATCATAATCCACTGACCATGAAAAATATATTTAACTGACCATGTGAAATATAATGATCACAGTATTACCATAACTATAGGATTTCTCTCCTACCATTTTTGTTTTTCAAAAACCACCAAATGCAATCAAAAATATTGAATTTTTGGTTTTGGTGCACTTTTTTATGTAGGCACGTATTCATGATGTCATATATATATATATATATATATATATATATATATATTTGAAATTTTGCTGATGGATGTGTGTTTGTGGACAGACACTTTCATGTTCCTGTATTTCATACGAGGCAGCACCTGTGGGAGAAGCAGATGTGACCACAGCCATTGTCCCTCTGGGTGCTGGTGGGACACACCCACCTGGGACAGGCCATTCCAGCCTGTCCTGGCACAAAAATACACATTTGGAGTTTGTAGCCACTTCAGTTTGGATCAGCTGGTTCCAACAAAGGTGATGGAAAATTCCTGCGTGGGCTTCACTCACGGCAAGGTCCAAAAGATCACTCCTGTGACAATGCCAGCCTGATATTCTGAGAAAGTTTGAAGCAAAATTACCAAATCTATCTGTATTAATTTTACATCCCTTGTGAATTGCTTCTCCAAGAAATTATATAGGTGAATCCTGTAAAAATTATTCTATATGCTATTGCATATATAAAATATATATAATGGATATATTTATTCATCCACTGATGAGGGTTATCAGCTTTAGCTGTTGAAGCACAAGCAATGTCAGATTCCTCGACTTCTGCTTTCACACTGAGGATCAAACTTCAGTTGCAGCTTCTTGGCACTAAGTGAAATGTGCTTCCTTTTTCTTAGTTTTTTGCAAATGTGGAAATCATGATAACCACAAACAGCAGTGAATTATTCAATGTGTTGGTGAAGCACTCTTGACCTTTTCTTGTCCTCTGCTTACCTGCATTCCCTAGTGGTGCTTTTGGCTGCTCATTTAATCAGTCATTGCTGTTAGACACCAGGGGATAACAAGAAAGAAATCATCACGAAAAATTCACTATTTAGAAAAACACAGGGAGATTTGAAGAATATGAAACACATTCAGAGAAGTGCTTACATTTCTGTGCCTAATCTGCAGAACTTCTTCATGAAACAGAATAATTATGTTAGAAACAAAAGACAATAATTCTAATTTATTTTAGATTATTTTTTCTTAGTTCTGCTTAGAAATCTGGACTTAAAGGCCTTAAGTCTTACCACCCTACTGCTTTCCTTTAGAACTTCAATTCTTTATATTAATGACTTGCTGAATATAATTTGGGTTTTACTTCCATCTGAGAACTTTTGGAAAAGTATAAGGATAACCCCTCCTGGGAAAGTGATGAGCTAATTGCTTATGGGTCTATGGCTACCAAAATTGTGAGACCTAGATGTTGAACAATCTGGAAATTGCTTTTCCATTTCAAACTAGCACAGAAAGAAATGTGACACATCCAAGGTCATGCTGGATGGAGAGAAGTGATCTGGTGGAAGAAGTCCCTGCTTATTTCAGGTGGGACCAGAGGGTCTTTAAAATTCCCTTTCAACCCAAACCTTTCCATGGCACAAAGAGAAGCAAATCTGAATGTCTTGTTCATTTGCAAAGACCTGGGAGTTCTGCCCTACATCTCCCTGAGCTGAAGGAAAACCACGACAGTCGAAGCAGGACTGGAAGGTGTGATCAGATAAATGTTCCTGCTGCTGAGCTAAAGAACTGGGGTTTCCTTGTGGATGTCCTGGGAGTCACTGCTGCTCCTCAGGATCATCTCAGGCACATGTCTGTGCTTACAGTGCAAGTGATTTTGAAAGCTTTATTGCTCTGTGCATTTGCCTTTGGACAGGATTCAGCTCTTTTCATTTGACACTTCAACTGTTTTTATCTTGAACTTTCTCATGAATTTTTATTAAGGGAAACTCTCTTGGGAGAGGAGTTGAAAGACAAAAACAGGGACTCGAGTGGCCTTCAGACTGAAAGATTAGAGAGAAATGGCAAAGCCTTGGGGAGAGCTGGGAACTCTACCAGGGGGAGCCTCAAAAAGTTATGAAAACTGGCAACACTGTGAGAAGAGATTCTCTGTGTGGTTCCCACTGCTCTTTGACTTTATCATAACTAAAGCAAACTGGTGAAAACTTGAGTTTCCCTTGCTCCTGCTTGTTGTCAAATTTGAGAAGTGATGCTGAAGCCAGCAGAGGTAGAGCAGAGTTTTGTGATGAGAGGCTCGTTTGATGGGAGCAGCCTGTGGAGAACTTGGCTGATGGGTCCAGATTGTGCCACCAAGAAAACTCATTTGGCTCTGAAGTTTTTTAAAAATGCAGCCTAGGACTGGAGCTTTCACTGTATAATTATTGTTAAAACAACAACATGGATTGCAGAACTGGCTGAAAACTTAGGGGTTTGGAGTTTCTGCATTAAGAGAGCAAAGTGGTATCTGTAGGATATAATTGCCTTATTGGACTGAGACGCTTAATTCAACCAGTGATTTTTTTTATAAAACTGTCATGACAACTTGAATGAAAAGTAGTGATTGAAACATTTTTTTCACAGTTCCCAACACATTATAATTCTGGACTTTTGTGTTGTTGTTAGGTTTTTGGTTATTTTGTTTTGTTTTGTTTCATTTGTTTGTGGGTGTTTGTTTGTTTTGTGGGGTTTTTATTATTTTTTCTCTTCCAAAAAAGAGTTTGGATCAAGGGAGAGCTTTGGGAGATGAGGAGAGGCTTTTTTTGACCTTGGTAGTAGCTGTGCTTGAAGAGAGTTTCAGAGAAGTAGAGTGGTCTCTGGGAAGCTGCAGCTGCTGCAGGGAGAGCACTGAGCAGATCAGAGAGCAGGAGGGAAGAGAAAGCAAAGGTGTGGTGGGCAGAGCTTTCCAGAGGCCACTGAGGAGAGTTCACTCAGCTCATAAAGTGCTGAATTGCCTGAAGCTCAGAGAGAAAGAAACACTCCAGAAAATGCAGCAGAAAAAAAAGTCTTGTATATAAACCACTTTTATTTTTGTTCCTTCTGAGAGCATAGCATGAAGCGTTCTCTAAGAGAAAGCAAACCCCAACACAAAACATCCAACACCAATGTCCTGGGGTGACCTTATGATGCTTGTATCCCTAAACCAGGACAACCAACAACTTACTAGTTCATATCTGAGTATTATAAAATTAAATTATTACAAATAATAATTAATATATAATAATAAATATATCCAATACAATAATTAATATATAATATAATATTTTATTTTTCTATTATTATATACTATATTCTTAAATATATTTTAATATTATCATTATAATTATTTATATGAATATTATAAATATTGTTATGAGCTTTGATGTCTAATTTGAGGCTACAAATTTTTGGGTTTTATTGAGTGTTTGTTACCTGCAGACTGTGTTTGCAAATTCACCCTGTTCTGTTTGATTGAAAGCCTGGACTGAGAAGTGACTGAATATGAAAGATGTCATATCATCTATATCATTACAGATATCATCACATACATCTTTAGAGAAAATTCTCTAAAGACATTTAAAGTGTGGCTTTTTACTGGTCTTGTGTAAATATTTGAGGTAAACCAAACCTTGCTCAAAGCTTGTTTTAAGCAGTTATCAGTTTAGGATTATAGACACACCTGTTTAGGTTTATTATTTGTTTACATGAGTACAAAATGAATATGGGCTGTCTATTGCCACTGAAATAAGTGTGTAACCTGAAAGATTATATTTGTGCTTTGATATGTCATCACTCCATGCTGGAAAATATATAATACTGAACTTAGAATCTGGTGGTTCATGGTAGTTTTGCCTAAAGGTACAGGGAAAGGGAATAACGACTGAATATCTGGAATTTTTCCTAATTGGTCTTTTTCTTTTTTTAGGAAATCTTAAAACTAGAAGGCAACCTTGGAATTCCAAGACAAAAAAGGGCTATTTTGGCAACTCCAATATTAATTCCTGAAAATCAAAGACCACCGTTTCCCAGATCAGTCGGCAAGGTAAATCAACAATACTGGATCAATTTTTGATATTAAGTAACTGATTTATTACTCTTATAATTTTGCAGTACTTATCACATTGTCCTCAAATAATGTTTAAATTATAGGAACTGCAAATGATCAGCACCCTGAAACACTTGGAGCTGTCATAATTTTTACGATCTTTTATGTTTGTTTTTTTTTTTAGCATAGCTCTAATTTAATTGTCCAGATGATTAATTTGGCTGGAGTATATTGCAAACAGAAAGAGAGATTGTGCATGTGTCAGGGGAGACAACAATTTTAGAGATATTTAAAATAATGAAATGACAAGTTCTAGGTAAACTGTGGTAATTTGCAACTGAATGCTGATCAAAGTATAAACAAAAAGGTTTGGAGTCTCAGAAATACTGATCATAGGGAAGAAATTCAGTCAAAATCGATGCTGAAAAGAAAAGCAGTTGTTTCAGGTGTTTTTGACTTGTCACAGATCTTCATAAGGTAGGTTGGGAGGTCTTGCTAAGTGCAATGAATGTCTGTACTAACTCAGGGTACTGGTTCCTGTTTCAGATCATGCACAAACTGGAGAAAAAGCTATTAAATTAAATATTTAAATTTATTTAAATATTGATTTAATATTTAAATTTATATTAAATTTAGATATTTATTGTCAAATTTCCATAGCTTCATGAATTTAAAAAAAATTCATTTAGTTGCCCACATCTGTAAGGTATGAAGAATGTGTTTATTTCCTCTTCCAAAATATTTTGGGGCTCATCTTCAGAAGCCTGGCAGGTCACCACATGGACTGATGGATCACAGCTCCTCTGGTTGTTGGTGTTTCCTGAGCCTCAGCTTTGCCATCTCTGCTCTCTTGCAATCCCTGCAGAAGGACATTGCACACTAGCTGTGTTTTCCATGGTGTTTTGGGGAAGAGGCGAAACATCCAGAGAATGAGTGATTTGCGAGTTATAACAGAATTTAAAAAATGAGAAGGAATGCGAAGCTTTCCTGACTGCATGGAATGGATGACAATGATAATTTCAGATCTGACTTGTTCTGACCCTGTTCACATGGAAATCAGGTTTCCAGTGTGTTATTTTCCTTTTCTTTCTTACTTTCCCTTCCTTTCCCCTGCTTTAGCAAATGACCAGTGTGGTTTATTAATTTGTCCCCACTTCCTCTTGCTTTCCATCCCATGCTGTGTTGGCTGGAATTGCACAGGGTTGTTTGGAAGTGATTGCAGCCAGCAGTTGAAATGCTGATTAGCACTTAGTGGGGAGCAGGGCACATGTGTGGAAAGAGGAGAGCAGGGTGAGAAGAATTAATTGAGTTTTATTTCACACTTAGGAAACAATACCATAAAGGAAAAAAAAAAAAAAAAAAAGGAATTTTAGAGGACTTCATGAAGTTTTGTTTTATATACATATACCAAGGAGACTGCACTGGGCAAGGGAAAAGAGTGTTTTGTTCAAATTAATTACAAATTTAGCTTAACAAGAAAGTACATGTGTCGAGCCTGCTCTCTGTGCTGTTACTGGCTTTCCAGCATCCCCACTCAGGAACTGGATTATTGCCTTGCCAGCTCCACACCCTTCACTAGGGTAGCTCTTAATTAAATAAGTGTCCTACACCTGCTGTGTTTGTAGGTGGAGAAGTCTCACCTTTTAGCAGGATTTAAGATTTTGCATATCATGCTTCGTGCCTGAGGGAGAACATTGAGATTAAAACATTTTAATAGAACCTTGGTAATGTGGGCCTTTGTGACCAGATGGCCCAGGCTACAACTCTTGACTGTTATAGATGTGTTTTGTTTAGCTCTTGCTGATAGAGCACTGGGATGTGATATTCAATTTTTAGTCTCTCTCCATATGTTCATTTTCCGGTTTATTTGTCCACATGAAGTCAGATGAAGTACAAAGCAGTGGGATGCAGGATTGTTTTGTACTTCCACTGGCAGGTTATTCTCCACTACCCCATGGAAATGTTTGCTAAGACTAACTTAGAGTGGTGATTCTATGCATCTACAAAACCATCTTTGGACACCCTTTAACTGATGCTGCTGCTTTTGAAGTTTGATCCTCCCAAAGAGCAGGAAGGGAATTGTGGAGATGCTCAACAAGTCCCAGCTCTTTTTCCACACATCAGAAGAGAAGGACACCTGCAAAGTGAGACTGTGTTTATCCAGGCTCAGAGGATTTGCTCTTCATGTTATTGATGGACAAATGGTGAATCAAGGATTCTGTTCTTCACTTTAAAGGAATTGTCCTGTGTACAAATGAGTATTGCAATTGCTGGCATGTAAAATCTGGAAGCCATGAGTGGCCTGGTGAAAATTGGCAGGACATTTTATGCTCAGTGAAGGGCAGAGCACAGACAGAGGTACACAGGAATCTTTGCAGGAAATTACTGAATAAATCAGAAACAAAACTTCATATTTTTTCCCCCAAGAATTTTTTGCTGTTGTTATTTGTCTGTTTTGTCTTTTGGAAGGGGGGTGGGGGTGGATCAGGTATTTTGGATCGGAAGCTTTCTATACTTCCTGCCTCTGATCTGGCTGTCAGCTGCAGTTACATGGCAGGACTGAGCCCAGCAAAAGCTCAAGACTGGAATTGGTCCAGGCTTGCAAACAAGATAAAAATCTTTAAGGTCTATGAGGAAGTGTTTTTTTTTTCCTCCTCTGAGATGTGAATTTAAGGCAAAGAGCAAATGCATCATGTCTGTTAAAGCAGCAGTAGAAAAGTACTCGGAGAGGGAAGGAAACTGAAGAAAACTGGATGTAAAAAGCTTCTGGAAGCTGCTATTTTTGAGGGACTATCTTAGTGCAACTATTTATATACAATAAATTACATGCTTCACAGAAGAGAATTGTCATGGACTAAAGAAGCAGCTGTAAAAAATGTCAAACTTCAGGCAAAAAAAATGAAGTGTAAAAAGAGGTGATCATGATCTCTCAGCCTGGGAAGAAAACCTAGAGAGAAGGTTTGTAGGTTAGAGGAAGAAATGAGAAACACAAGAGAAATAAAACAGTGAAATGAAAGCTGAATTAAGAAGTTTTTTGTTACTACAGGAAAATTAAGCAGAAAATGAGAGGGAGTCTAAAGAGAAGTAGAGGGTGAAAGGACCTGGCAAGGATGGATGTCCAAGCCTGGAAGATAATGGTGTGTGCTCACAGAGATGGGAATAATGTGCAGAAACCTCCAAACCTTTACAACACCATGAGAGAGTTCTGTGAGACTGCTTATCAGCTGCTTAGTTAGGAAAGGTCTGAATCCCAATTATTGGCCTGAATCTGTTTCAGTTACTAAAAATGATGTGGAAGCAAAAGAATCTACTTCTCATGATGGAACTAGACATGGGCTCTACAGGAAAAATCTATTGGATTTTTAAAAATTAATTTTTTAATATCAAATTTCTCCTTTTTAAATCATCACCATGTCAAATGCAATGATTGTGCTGTGCTAGAGTATGGTCAGAAAACAGGAAATGGTCTTTGGCAAGAGTTTTGACTTGTCCAGAGGACAAGAATGTTTTGGTGACAGCTGAAAAAGTGGTTGAGGACCTTTCTCAGAGAGAAGATGGAAATAGAGACACAAGGAATTCTGAGTCCTTGCATAAGTCTGATGGCAAATTTGGAGAGCATTCTGCTAAAACATGCCTACAATTCCATGTGGGAAAGGCATATCCACAGGTGAGGATTTAGAAACAAGAAGTAAACGAGGTAGAAAAGTGTACAGGTGGAAAAGGGTGTTATTTATGGATAGCACTTAGGCAATAAATAAAGCTCTTTGAAATCCATCAAGAAACAAAGATTGGGTTTACAGAAAAAATCAAGTTATGGTCCAGGTAGGGTAAGATTGGGTAGAAATAAATATGAGCTCAATTTGCTTGGCCTAGCAAAAGCATTTTCTGTAAATCCAGATGATTTAAGAGAAAGGAATACACTGGTGTAATAACTAATGGATATAAATTTTGGCATAAGATTAAAAGAAAAATTTCTGGTACCCAGAGAAGAGGAATTAATTTCCAACAGCAGTGGTGAAGAGGGAACACATAATTTGATAAATATATGATCACAATTGCATAATACAGCTGCTTCTGATCCTGATAGAACAGACACCTCGAGTTTTCCTGGAAATGTGGGAAGCCCTGCTGAGCCAGGCCTGAACGGGCAGCTGGAGGTGTCAGAGTTTGACATCTGATAAAATTCCTGGCTTGCATGGAGGAATGGCACACTGCTGACCTTCAGGGAAAAACACCAACCTACCTCAGCAATGAGAGTAATAACAGATGCAGCACTCCATTCAATTAAAGGGCTTTCAATGCAAGTACATGAATTATTAAGCTACAGCATATTAATTCTCATTAAAGGATATGTATTTGATGTCCTAACAAACTATTAAGTGAAAACAGCGCTTGATTTGTCTCTTTTTCTGAGTTGTGTCTCTTCAACCCTCCCTTTATTAAGAATTCACATCAAGAATTCCAACGGAACATATTTGTTTTCTTTCACCTAATAGAATTTTATTGGAAAAATTTGTTAAAATACACTTGTTTACTTAAGACTTTCAGAAGAATCACACATGAGTTGCAAATGCCTTGGAAAATTGGAAAATAATAATTTACCATTATTTTTCAGTGTTTGGTGTTGCTAATAAGAATAAAAGAATTTTAAAGCATTTGGGAAATACTTTCTAATCCAGTTACTATGGTTACAAGTTTGTTGGAGATAAAGCAGTTATATGGCAATGATGGAATCGAATTTTCTGAACAATATTGATATATCCAGTACCTAATTTCCTGCTTCATAATAAATCACGTTAATGACCTGAAGGAAAGCTGCAAACAGAAGAGAATTTTTGCTCTAAAGCTGTTCAGCAAAGTCTGCTTCAGTTTAACTGCCACACTGTTTATGTTAACTTTGATTTCAGAAGTTGATAATTTTAAACTGTGTTGCAAATTAAGGTAGAGGTGAGAAAGAAGTCTGTCCCTGCCAGTAAATTGCCTATGGATAGTAACTA